TTTGAAAGAAAAAATATTTCAATACAATCTTTTCTATAAAGGTTAAATTATTATTATATTATATTTCCAAGAGAGAAAGAAAAAGAGAGAGAGATTTTTTTAAGATAACTACACCATACTTTCTTTGCTTAATGGTTAATAGTATAATAAATTATGTGTAAAAAGAAAACAAAAAAAAATTAAAATGAAAAAAAGAAAAAAGTATATCGTAAGGACAAGGATCTATGTTCTTGGATTAACAAGAAAAGAGGTGATTAAAGATGAAAAGCGCGATTCGCTAAGCGCAAAATTTATTCACGAAGGAACCGATGAATCTATCACGCTCATTGATCTAACAAGTCGGCGCGACCAGGCAACTGTGATAATTCAATTAATCCTGATAAACGAGAACGTGCTTATATCCTACCATCTTGTACCATGATGTTACCGTGAGTTAATATCGATTAATAATAACAATAATAATAATAATAATAATAATAATAATAATAATAATAATAATAATAATAATAATAATAATAATAATAATAATAACATCAACAACAACAACAACAACAACAATAATAATAATAATAATAATAATAATAATAATAATAATAATAATAATAATAATAATAATAATAATATTAATAATAATAATAATAATAATAATAATAAAAGAAAAGAAACCATTGAAATGATGTCACCATGCTTTGCGAGACTATCGAACCAAAGAGAAAATTCAATTTATAGTTACAAATATATTAAAATGATACAATCGATCATATATTAAAACTTTTCAAGGAACTTTTCGACAGATCAACTGTCTAACGACGAGAATATGCAAATGCATTTTATTTCATTGTTAGTTTCATTAATTTTGCTTTTGTTAAATTTTTTTTGTTCAGGTAAAAAGAAAATGGATTGGATCGAATAGGATCAACGAAGAAGAGACAAATTCGAGATTTGAAAAAAGAAAAAAAAAGAGAATTATTCTACGATATAGAAGGAGAAGATCCAATGTAAAATAAAGAAAAAAAAAAGAAGCAGTAGATGACAATGAAGATCGGTAACGGAAGGTATAAGAAGAATAGAGAGAGAAAACCATCATCGATTGGTTTCGTCGGTCTCGGTCGCTTTCCATCAAATTCCAATGGTCTTCTCTAACATACAACTCTCTGTAGAAATAATTTCTTCTCTCGTCGGACAAGTCTAATACACCCCATATCTCTCTCTCTCTCTCTCTTTATATATATACCTCTCTTTCCTTCATATGAACCATATTCCATGTGAACATATTTCTATAATTGTTTCTTTTCTTCCTATTTTTTATTTTATTTTTTTTTCTTTCTCAAGCCAGCACGAACTTTCGTGTAAAATCTTGCGTGATACGAAAGAACTCACTACGAAGACCCTATATCCTTTCGTCCTTTCCAAAGAACTCCAACATGGAAGCTTCAAAAGGAAATAATGATACGCGAACGTTGTTATTACGTCGAGAGAAAAGGAGATATATATATATATATATATATATATATATTTTTTTTTTATAGCCGATAAAATCGAGAAAAAAGAAAAAAGATAAAAAATAAAAAAAAAATAAGAAAAGAAGAGGAAAGATAACTAAAGACAATATTTTCTTTTTTCTTTTTTTCTATTTTATTCTCCTTTCCTTCTTCGAAGAAGAGATATGATAATGATCCTATATAATCTGAATGGAAAAGAAGAAAAAAAGGAAAAGAAAAGAAAAGATAAAAATGAAGAAGAAGACAGTTTTCGCGAGAAGCCGGCTTTCGGTTTTCTCAATGGCTTTTATACTGGAAATGTGCAACTCACGGTTCGCGAATCCCTTGCTTCCGTAGCGGACACTCATGTAATCACGAAGACCAACTTTCTTTTCCAATGGCGGAGTACCGGCGTGAAGACGACGAGTCTCTCGGCAATTCGATGAAACATTTATGATCGCCCTTTACGTACGGTTATACACTTATACGTAGATATGAAAATGGGGAAAGGAGAGAGAAAGAGAGAGAGGAAGAGGGAAGGAAAAAAAGAAAGAGGGAGAAAAAGAGAGAGAAAGAGAGAGTGAGAGAGAGAGAGAGAGAGAGAGAGAGAGAGAGAAAAGAGAAAGAGACAAAAATATGTGATACGATGCGAGCACAGTACTTATGAACGATTTAATTTCAACTTAATCTCTTAAAGATGATGTGAGACAAAGATAGAGAGAAAGATATATATATACATATATAATATATAGAAAGAATATATATACGCGTAAAATAGTAAAATTCACTTTAAAGTAGAGTTGAATTATATAAAATTCGGCTTTGCTTGATAATATTAAACGATTTAACACAATTTTCCAACGAAAATTCTTCGACTCGTTCGTCTTTCGTTTATCCGTGTGTTTTTATTTATATGCAGTGCGTACTGCGTGTGTGTGTGTGTGTACGTGCGCGCGCGCACTACTGTTCACTAGCTTAACTTTTTCTTATCTACAAAGTTTGATGCGACCAATCTGTTTTACCGAACACTACTACCAAATGACGAACGCTCGAACTCTCGTCGAAAAGAAGGCTTAAAACGGACTGCGCCGGTTGCCGGTTGAGCCGCTCTCTATATCCGTTCGCGCTTACGAGCTACGATAGTTGTGCGCGTATATATATTTAAAATAATACATACTCTCTTTCTATATACGTACAGAAGACATAGTGTAGTAATCACACGCGTGTGTTAGGAGCTGCTTGCACGTGATAGAGGGACGTATCCACTCTGCACATAAGTGTCCTTTCTCTTTTCGTCTCTCTCTCTCTCTCTCTCTCTCTCTCTCTCTCTCTCTCTCTCTCTTTTCTGTCTCTCTTTTCTTTGCAAACATGAGCCGCGAACTCGCGTCAAAAAGGCAAATGCCAGAAAGGGACTACGTGTCGTTCTCCGCGACGTTCGCACATTTTACCCGCACGTACTTTCGACATTGTCAACGTTCTTCTTTTTTTTCTTCTTCTCCTTCTTCTTCTATTTCTTCTATTCCTTCTTTCTTCAACGGATACATTAAACATTTATATTGTGTCGTGAATACAAAAAGGAAAGAGTGAGTGAGTGAGTGAGTGAGTGAGTGAGTGAGTGAGTGAGTGAGTGAGTGAGTAGAGAGAGAGAGAGAGAGAGAGAGAGAGAGAGAGAGAGAGAGAGAGAGAGAGAGAGAGAGAGAGAGAGAGAGAGTAAGTTGCGTTCCTTCAAAGTACATCTACTATCATTTATCGTTTTTTCCTTTTACCGTCTTAGATCTTTTCTTATTTAAATGTATATATATATATATATAAATAACTTTTTAAAATATAGTTAAATAGATGTACGAATATACTTGACAAAGCTAGTTTTACCTTGCTAACCAATTTTGTTCGTTCATGATCTTGCGAGCAAATTTTTCAAAGAAAACGAATTTTGTAACCTTGACGCTAAGTGATCCTTACGAAGTTACGAAGGGTTTTAGTATGTTATATTAGAGAAAAAAAAAAATCTGTTACTTGTTTATGTATCAGTTGACACAAGCCGAGAGGCGCATGCGTGCCTCTTTCCTATGCCACACCGAGAGAAACACAAACAACTAAGAAACCGGTTCGAAGTTCGCTCTTATACCGTCACGAACTTCACCGCCGAAAGAATGCAAGTTTCCAACGTTATATAGATGTACCTATGTTCCCCTATCGAAGAATATAATAGTTTTGTGATTGGAGAATCTCATATCTTTCCTGTAAAACTTTTCTGTTATCACCCGTCAGACAGAAAAGAAAGGTGCCTCGATGATATTCTCGAACGTTCAGTTAAATCGAGACAAGTCCTCGGAATAATCATTTTTACGATGGAAAGAACCCATGACCATGGACAATCTTCTACATTCATATTCTGAATTCATCTAGATCCACATGTGTTACGCGTAATTAACGTGAGACCAATTATCGGATAAGTAAAACCATCTACGTCAATGAATTTACACATGAATCATTTCTTAATTATTAAGTGACATATTACGTTTAAATGTTCACAATTGTCGCTCACATAATCGAATTTAATATAGATCTTAGAGGACACCTTACATATACGAATATGTATATATGTATATGTATATGTATATATATATGTGTATATATACATATATATATATATACATATATTTATATAGACAAACACATACATGATGTAAGTAATCGGAAAAGCGTTCAAAAATTCGATTACGTTTCTTCGTTTCATGATCACGCCCATTTGGCAAGAGCTTTGACGTCAATCGCTCTATTTTTGGTTCGTCTTCCACATACATTTAACATCCCATCATCATAAAATCGTAGACGATTGGATGCGTACCAGAGAGAGAGAGAGAGAGAGAAAGAGAGAGAGAGACGCTTAACAGCTCAAAGAAATTTTCTCTGATAAATGTTTCATTGAAATAATTTCTTTATTGAATTTATTCTACATGACCAAAAGGATATGTAATATGTAATTTTTGTTAGCGCATTTTATTGAAATTATTAGAATTTACCTTGAATCCGTAATAAAAAATTGTCAATTGAAAATTGAATCGAAATAAACGAGAAATGTTATCGAACTACTACTACTACTTCTATTAAAACTGCTACTTGAGTTATAGTCGATAGTAAACGTGTTACTGGTTAGGAATCGACACCGTACGTGTAATACGAATCGTTCGTGCGAGTTATTCTATCGGCTGTCACATTATTATAAGAACGCGACGGAATTAGTGTGCGCATCACGTGCACAATTTGAAACGCAAGTAGTACGACTGCTTGGAGAAAATGAGAGGAAATCGAAATTCCGATGGCGTTTGGAAAAGAACGGAAGGGTATACATTGATCATCTTTTTTTCAATATGTCAAGGAGAGAGAGAGAGAAAGAGGTGGGAGAGAAAGAGAGAGAGAGGGAGGAGAGAAAGAGAGAGAGAGAGTAATATAAACGAATCAAGCTTGCTTTGGTAAAGTAAAAAATACTTAACATATCGTGGTACTTTCCACTAGGAAATAATACGACGTATTGGTCCAGGTAACAACTCGTGGTGCCTATTTTCGTTACCAGACACGTGTCTCATGCAAAACCGGCTTTTTCCAAATGGATTCCTCTTACGAGTATGACGAATATATATGTGGCACGAATACATCTGAAGCGTTTCCTGGTATTGGCGCTTAGGTCTGTTAAAGATCAGCGAAGCCTATTAGGAAACGTTGCGTCATCTCTGGATCAGTGCCTTGCAAGGGAGAAGACGACGACGACGACGACGACGCCCAGTAAATAAAATGATGCACGCATGCAGCCTATGCTGCTATGATTCACATTGTCTCTTTAGAAATGATTCAGCTCGAAATAAGATCAAAATTATAAGAAAAAATATGAGATAAATAAAAAGAAGAACAAAATAAAACGGTAATTTTAAAGAATATTTCCACTATCTCTTATTTCTCTATTTTCTTTTTCTTTCTTTCTTTTTTCTTTTTATCGAACGAATCGGAATTTTTTGATGGGCAGTATATAATAAGGAGGAAATAGTTATTTTTTTCTTTTTTTCTTTCCCCCTCCTCCCATCAAGAAACGTCGTTTCAGGGTGAACGAGAGCAGAGATATTTTGCCAAATGGACTTCAAGGTCGTTAAGAACACACGTGTGTATTATTGTGATTCATGCGCGTTTAACCTCGAACATGAAAAAGAGAATGTCCCGAGAAGCTTATCGATGAAAGATAACGAATATTTTTCCTTGTACGTTCTAATGCAATGGCAAACAATGTGTCGTTATTCGTATACTATAGTTATTTTGATATGACTCCCCGGAGAATTTGACTGTATCGTTTTGTTCTCGGCGCCATGTCATGCCGGGCCGGTCGGGCCGGACCACACCACGTCGTAACGTTACAAAACACGATCGATATTGCATAATCGAATGCACAGTCATCAAATTAAATCAAGAGGTCAAAGTCGAGGAATCAGAACCATCGACGGAATACACGAGACACTTTTATAGTTAATAACCATTGATAAATATTTTACGAAAGGAAAAACTTTAGTGAAACTTCGAATTTGAGTACTCTAAAAAATAAAAAGTAACGAAGGCTTGAAAAAGAATACGACGTCCTGGTCTTTTGCCAGATTTGTATTAACGGCCTACCAAATTCTCTCTTTCTCTCTCGCTCACTCTTTCCCTCTCTTGCTCTTGATGCTAAACCAAGAAACTGCGCAGTTTCTCTTGCAAAGTCAAAATAATTTTTACAAAAATATCTTACGCGACGTTACCTTGCCGATCGTCTTCTCGCAAAATAACTCAACCGAAGTCTTAAAAGTCAAGGATTTTACTTTCTATAAAAAAAACATAACATAATAATAATTAAGTGGAGATAATAAAATATCACAATATATGTATTATATAAATGATTTGTGCAATTCGAAAGGACTAATCAAATTTACGGTTTCTAGTTTTGAGTGTTTAATGTATAACGACCTTTCTCTAAATTTAAAGATTTCCCTAGGCCTTGAGCTTTTAATGTCACAAATACATTAAAGTTACACATCACAGAGATATTATTATCTTTCTTCAATTTCTATCACATCCTCGAGGATGACTAATCTCCCTTGACACTATGATTACTGATTATTAGAATTATTATTAGCTCGTAATAACGATCACATGACTTTGATTCGTAAACGATAAAATTCAATTGTCATCATCGTTTCGTAATTTAGTTCGATGCCTGTCTTTGTGTATGTGTGTTTGTCTATCTCTTCTATCAAATCAAATCAATCTAGCGAGAATTCTCTCTTTCTATCTTTATATTCCTAGTTCTATTCAAAAAATTTATTTCAAAGCTGAGAGAGAGAGAGAGAGAGAGAAAGAGAGAGAGAGAAATAGTTTCGCAATTGTTCCATTACAACTTTGTTTCACATGATAAATGTAGACAAAACGTAATCGATTCTATTAATGTCTACTACCAAAGAGCCTTAAGAAGGTATCAAGAATTATAGGAATCATGTAATGCATAATATATATGTATCGAAGTTCGCGCGGAAAATCATAATGAATCGGGCAACGACAACGTAATCGTATCTATCGGTCAAATCGTTTCGACCATGAAATCATGGTCGGCCAATGCAGCGCAACCTTACAAAGGCTTCGAATGATAAAAAAAAAAAAAGAAAAGAAAAGAAAAAAGAAAAAAATTGAAAAAGAAAAATAAAAAAATGCACAACCTAATTACTTTTTCAATGTCATCATTTCTTTTACGAGATACTCGCATAGAGGACGCAGAAAATGTTCATTGGACTAAAGGAGGTAGAATAATAGATCCGTATTCTAATTTTTTGGAAAACAGAGGAGAGAGATAAGAGAGAAAAGTTCGAATTATAATCGTCACAATATGTAGTTGTGACGCCGCCATTCATTAAGTTCGTTTCTCACAAGATTTCCTTCCTTTAGTATTCGCGGATCGATTGAAAAGAACGCTCACGATGCTGTTGTTGGTTTCATCGACCTCATACGGATAAGAAACATGAGTAGCGAAGGCGCCGTGCCAGTGGTGGAAATAAGGTGACAGGTCTCTAAAGAATCGATTCTACGAGTAACGTTATAGTTACACTATAATTCGTATTGTATATCTACTACCAATCGTGTGTTACTTTGTGTATGTATGCGAGCGCGCACGCATACGTGCATGTATATTTGTGTGTGTGTGTGTGTGTGTATGTGTGTACGAGTGTTTTGCAATAGAATGATAATAATATTCGTAGACTCGGTCGAACTCGTTAGCACTTGGAGTTACCATCCAATTGGTAATCTAATACGTTGACCGAGCGACGTAGGAAAATGAAAAGCAGACGAAAGCAAAACTCAAACACGAAAGCAATCGTGATCGAGCACGATAAAATATATGCGATGATTCACGTGTAAAGACACGATCGATGCAAGCCAAAATTCATGCTATTACGTTATATTCGTATTATTATGCATTAGAGAACAGAAAATAGAACTACTCTCTCGGCATTATTCCCAACGCATTCCATATAAAATAGTTGTAACGATTGATTTTGGCATGCATCGTTAGGACGTAAGTATTTTATCGATATCATTCGACGTATTTGTTTTTGTTTTTTTTATTTTTATTTTTATTTTTATTACACAACGTATCTTATTATAATAACTCCAATTATAAGAGTTACAGTTCATATGATTTATTTCTTATCTTTTACTCGTCTTTTTAAAGAGAAATTATTGAAATAATTTTCGCTGTATCAAAAGATAACCATTCTGGAATATATTCACTCTATTAAATCGTTATATTTGAAAAAAAAACAACGTTTAGTGAAAATTTGGATAGAATCAAATAGAAATAAAAAATTCAATTAACGATAGATTTTTCGTATAAATAAATTTCGATCATCTAGTATTATCGGATATAATACTATCGGTATGTTGAACCGATCGATATGACAACCACGTAAGAAGCAAAAATCGAAGGAGTCACGCGTCAATGGATCGAACCGGCAAACCATGCGAACATAAACGAGCAAAAAGAGTAAAAGGAAACACGTTAATACCCTCGAATATTATACTTGAACGAATGCTAAATGGTTTCAACAAGGACAAGGATCGATTTAATTTAACGGTCACGTTACCTCAAACACTGTGGCAAATCGTTTAGTAAAATATTGAATCGAATCATGGAAGGTTAAAATGTATTTTCTATTGACATCTCACTTCCGCCTACGCATTATATTAAAAAAAAAAATTATTCAACTTTTTAATTCAAGACAATTAATTTTTCACTATTTTTTAATTTATTTTAACCAATCTGTAATCATATATATATAAAATGATCGATCAATATTCTATTATGTTTCGAAAAGTCTTCTATTATATTTCCTTGTGTATTAGGAAAGAAAAAGAGATGGAATTACGTAAAGAAAATATTAGCAGATAAAATGGTAAAGCTTGTATCGACAACCTATACGTTTTCAACCAGACTCCATAGAAAGACAAATTTGCAGAAACTTACCAATCGGGAAAGAGTACGTGCGCTTCGGCAAGAATGTCTCGTAGAAGTGTGGTCGCAGGTGGGACGTGAGGTAAAATAATAGGAGCGAATACACCGCATACACCAGCGCTTCGTCCGTGTCTTGCTTCGTATCTGCTTAAATAAATCGCCAAGTAACCAAGTAAGCGATAATGAGAAGATGGGAGGGTTGATAGGAGTTCCTTCGTCGATTTAATCCAGGATTCATGATTATTTGAGTAATCATCTGTAAAAAAAAAAAAGAAAGAACAGAGTTAAAAACTTATGAATAGAAGAATCCAATTAGTGGGAAGTCTTAAAAGAATCATTTAAAATAGTTTTAAGAACCGATGAGATACTAACTGTTGTGAAGGTTTAACAAGCTTGCGACCAAAGTGGACGGTACAACGGGTTGCGGCAATTCTTTCAAGTACTGTCGAAGAAGGGTGGCCGCTGTGGATGGACAAGCTGCAGATTCCAAATCGGCATCGCCTCTTCTCTCGAAGGCAGTCCTCAATCTTTCAGCAAGTCTGGGACTACCACCCGATAGACGAAATACCGCAGCACTTTGGAAACCATGAGCCTCGATATAGTTGCAGAGGCGATAGACCACGTAGGGTACACCCGTTTCTTGATAAGACTCTATCAAGTCTAGCCGAGCACCGAACACTCTCGTGGACCCTCTGCCTCGGCCAAGGAACGATCCTGCGAGGACTCGCTTCACTCTGGCAAGGCGGGACTCGTCCTGAGAGACGACCAGCTTGGTTAAATTCTCGTCCGACGTAGTGTACGGTCAACAATCGACGATGGATGCGCAACGTCACTATTCGCATATGACATTTCAAAGTTCCTACATTCAAAAATCCATCGGATCAGTGCATCTCGAACTTGCTATCCATCATCTCGACTATATCCCAAAAGTTTTAACAGGAGTATTCGGTTTTATAGGCCAAGTAATGAAACACTAATGAATAAGAAAAAAGTTTACGCGACCTTGACACGTTTCGCATTCCTATCTTCTCCGGTTTTTTTCTTTTTTTTCCGCTATCGCTTCCTTCTCACGATCAAATAATTAATAAATAATAAGGAATAATGAGGAATAAAAAAAAGAGAGAGTGAGAGAGAGATTAAGAGACGTTTCACCTTGTCGTGAGACTGTCGCGAACGCGTTGGACTTGCCGATCCATAATGAGATTGCTGATGCTGATGCTGATTGTGGTGATGATGGTGGTGGTGATGGTGGTGATGATGATGATGGTGGTGATGCTGTTGTTCTTGCTGAGGACGTCTCATCCCACTTCTACACCGCGACCCACTGCCGCACTAGTGAAATCAAAAGAATGTATTTCAATAGGTATTATCTCAAATAAACGTACATAAAAATTAAATATAGAAAAAATAG